GGTTGGCATGGGTCAGAAGGACTCTTATGTCGGGTAAGCTTCGGCTATCTCATTTAAGCTTTCACCTAATTTAACTCGCGCAGTGACGAGGCTCAGTCCAAACGTGGTATCTTGACCCTAAAGTACCCCATCGAGCACGGTATTGTTACGAACTGGGATGACATGGAGAAGATCTGGCATCATACATTCTATAACGAGCTTCGTGTGGCCCCGGAGGAGCATCCCGTCTTACTGACCGAGGCCCCCCTGAACCCCAAAGCTAACCGCGAAAAGATGACCCAAATCATGTTCGAGACATTTAATGCACCTGCATTCTATGTCGCCATTCAAGCCGTCTTGTCGTTGTACGCGTCCGGTCGTACCACCGGTATCGTCATGGACTCCGGTGACGGTGTCACCCACACGGTTCCTATCTACGAAGGTTTTGCTCTGCCTCATGCTATTCTCCGTCTCGACCTTGCTGGTCGTGATCTTACCGACTATCTGATCAAAAATTTGATTGAGCGCGGTTACTCATTCACGACGACCGCAGAGCGTGAAATCGTCCGTGACATCAAGGAGAAGTTGTGCTACGTCGCCCTCGATTTCGAGCAGGAGATGCAGACTGCCGCTCAGTCATCGGCACTTGAGAAGAGCTATGAGCTGCCTGATGGTCAAGTCATCACCATCGGTAACGAGCGGTAAGTTGATTTTGCCCTGATTATTGCATTGTCTTAACTTATAAAATCACAAGATTCCGTGCACCCGAGGCTCTCTTCCAGCCTGCATTCCTTGGTCTCGAAGCTGCTGGTATCCATGAGACTACGTAAGAACTCATTTACAAGAAACGTAGTGTGATTTACCCCCGTCCTAGGTACAACTCGATCTTCAAGTGCGATCTTGATATCCGTCGCGACTTGTATGGTAACGTTGTGCTGTCGGGTGGTACTACTATGTTCCCTGGTATTGCCGACCGTATGCAGAAGGAGTTGACGTCACTCTCGCCTTCGAGCATGAAGGTTCGTGTCAACATTTTGTGTACAGTCGTTATTCTCATTCGTCGCCGCTTATAGGTCAAGATCGTCGCTCCTCCTGAGCGGAAATACTCCGTCTGGATCGGTGGCTCTATCTTGGCTTCGTTGTCCACTTTCCAGAACTTGTGGTGTTCAAAGCAGGAATACGACGAGTCAGGTCCTGGTATCGTTCATCGCAGTACGTGTCTCTCATCTCATGATTCTACTTGTTCTCAATTACCCCCGCAACAGAGTGCTTCTAAATGTAATGAAAGAAGTAACCACGTATACGATGTACTAGGACGACATTGTTATTGAATCCCAGTGACACTTTGATATTTCAATGGCCGGAGGAGTTCTATGGGTAGATGGAAGAAAATTTTCTATGTTAAACTGTTTGTCTTCCCTGCAGACGAATGTCAATTTCGTAATGAACGTTGATCGTGATTTGAATGACGTATACCAAGTTGGATCAGGAGTGCACTGCTCCGAAGTATTTGTTTGATCACTTTGAAGCAGACATTTCTGATAAACTTTTAATAATTAGTATCTTTTAACAAGCCGTAGTCTGGGCCTCGGCGATTATTCTGACTGAATCCCGCTGCACAAAGCGGACATGAACAGAAAGAATGCATGCATTGAAAGTCCCTAGACGACAACGACATACATAGTGAGTAATGACCCAATTTATCGCTCCTTCTTGGTTTCTGACAGTTTCTTCTCCTCCGCTTCCTTGAACGATTGCTTGTCTTCCATCAAAGAAACGACGATGTACGCAATGAGGACTATGTTCGCCGCACATATGGCGGTGATCGCAGCATAGTTGGAGTTGCCTTGAAGAAAACATCAGTACAAACTCGTGATTGCATCCTGTAGTAGACGTACCAGACCAAACATATTTTTCAGAGAAGAAGTACGATGAGATTGGTAGGATGGCAAGAGTTGCAGCGAAAAAGAGGAGTTTCATGAGCGCCGCCCTTTGATGACATCACCAATAGGTTTCCGGGATACGACGAGTGAGTGATATTTTCATCTGTGCTATCTTATGAAGACAAACCTGGAGGCCGCCTGCTCTGAGGCTTTTGCTGCTGCGACCTGATCACTCATGCCCAGTCGAAAATGGATCAAGGGTATGTTCGAATTCGGATGGCAGCTTCAAAGCGTATGTAAGCAATTCGGACTTCACTTACTTATATAAATTGACTCAGCAACTTGTCGTCAACTCGGATGCATCATGCACCAGTATCCCACATAATCAAGTAACTCGAGTTCATCGCTACTATCACTTGTGTCCTTTGATATGCTGCTATTCTCATTGAGATCCAATGGGCATTTACTGCATATCAAAGGTGAAACTTTGTTGTAACAGACCTGATGCTCTCTCGCAGGCGATTAATCTTCGACACCGTGCACAAGGAATTCACAGTTTTTTCCAAACGACGCACGACGCAATCGTCTAGCAAACATTCTATCAATGCTCGCAGCATACGGAGGCCACGCGGAATTGACGAACGAACGTTTGCAACGGAACAACGATCCCAACAGGGTTCGACGACCTCGGATAATATAAGATCCAGGCGAATGTGTCCAAGTTCCGCGATGAACATGTCTGTATGTTGACCACAAGGGGCGCACACCCGAGGATTGGTAAAGCGCTGGGTGCAAATGCGGTGGCATCGGTGCTGATATGCTGGTGCTCGTCCTGAGAAGTCTCTTGCGCGGCTAGGGAGAACCTTGACATAGACAACCCTCCGTTGCTCGTTGAAATTGGTTGCAGGAGTCTCAAAGACATTGTATGTGAAAATAAAGTAAGCGTCGGCACAAACACCTTATATACAGTTTTCAGCAACAGACGCATGAAACAATCTTGTTTTCGCTTCAGCATCCCTTCCATTTTTGTTGTGAGCTAGACTGGGGACTAGCTCGGTTATAACTAGCTCGTCTATAGACGGGCTGGTCACCAGTCTAGTTGTCAGCACTCAGCTCCGTTGTGACATCGTGGCGCCCTTTGAAATTACAGTAGCTTTATCAAAGGTTTTTCTCAGAACTTGCCGCGTCATTTTCTCACAGGCTTTCACTGCTTCACTGCTCATAATTTCAAGTACGTGCTCATTGATCAACCTTATCTGGTACTCAGATTCCAGCAGTGGGGCATCCTGTCTGATCACGAGGGGGCCATCAAACTTCGCTAGGCTGCACTATGCCTCTGTCCCTCCTGGTCGTTTTGATCCAATCGTGTTTCTCCACAATCTTGCCAGCACCCTTCGAGACTGATTCGAGCAACAAGGCATCCCGTCTGACATGGGTGAAGCATTTACGCCATGTCCGAAACTTCCCCGCCTATCTCACGTATCCTCTCATCATGATCTTAGTCGGTCTCCTCTGCTGAGGAGATGAACCATGTCACTATTGCTTGCCCGCCAGGCCGCATCGAAATTTCTACATCAGCATGTCACTCTTTTGTCGTCTTCCTCACGCCATTTCGACCCCCTCAGGGAAGCCATTTTCTTGCCTGGCTACGAATGCTTTCTCATGTAGTGGTTATTGCGGCGCTTTGACCATTCCTGTATAACTGGCGAAGCAATGCCGTACGGTATTCTGGACCCGGTTGGCACGTTTCTGCATACCACACGATAAACTTCTCGTCTCGTCTCGCGTGGCACTGACGCTGCCTTAGCGGAAGAGTTCGAGCAGCTAAGCTTCGCCTTCGTACTGACGTTTTCGATCAGGCCAGTCCCCGCAAATCTGATGACTGACTATGCAATGAGATGATATCGTCTCACCCGTCAGCATGTGCAGCAGTCCAGGGAGCACTTGATGCTTTACGGAATCAACGGTTCCACCTGGCCTGCCACAGAATGCCGAATCGATAACAACCATTCGGGTATTTGCGATGCGCGATGCGCCTTTAATGATCGGGGACATCAAATCTCACCGGCAGATTCCTGATTTTGCATTCTTATCTGCATGCCACACTATCGTGGGCAGTGAGAAGAGTCCCGATGAGTTGATCCATCTCGCTGCGGCTATGCAATTCTCCAAATTTCGCAGTGTAATTGGTTCCATGTGATCTGTTTGAACTGCACATGAGCTGTGGTAGTGTCGCACAAGGCTGTGAAACAGTGTTTGAAGTGCCAGTGGTAGGCCATTGGCTGGCCAGGAAAGAAGACATGGCGGTTGGCAATGCCATGTCCATGGCTATGACTTTTTCTCACCACGTGACAGACGGATGCTCCGCTGATTGGATCGAAGCGGATTACACCGTACTGCACATCATATCATCGAAACTTTCAAGTTGCTCATCCTCTTCACCTTTTGCATCCAATTCGACAAGCTCGTAAAATTCCAGCTCATCATCAAGGGATCTCATGCCTATCTTCTCTGTCAACACTCCTGACCACATCACGATATTGACTCATCCTGGAGTACCTCCTTGTTGTCGAGAAACGCGCAAGCGCGGGCAACTGTACTGCATCAGCAATTTGTGGAAGTCCAACATCTCAATACATTTGAAAGCCACTGTATCCCACGCCTCAACTTTTCATTCCATCCAAACTGTTCGTCGTGGACAGACAATTTCCTAGGCTCTGCGAGCCGCGTGCGAGTTATATTCAACAGCTATCAAGGATTGACGCTAGCACGGACCGTCTTGGACCTGCGGACGGATCCATTTGCTCACGGTCAATTGTATACGGCGTTGTCGAGGGTGAGAACGTGAAGAGACACGCTGTCTTTTTGCGGAGATAAACAAGGGACAAGACTGCCAATGTTGTATTTCCTGGCTTGCTACTATAAAGCCAACCAAAGGGGTGTCCTTGTAAGAAAAAAATGCAGGCAGCGAGCTTGTACCATAGGGTATGATTAGGATACAACAACTGGGAATGTCACATTAGAATTATCGTGAAGACATGATTTACATAAATAACTGAGATATAGTTGGGACAATGGGGGAATGAAAGAGATCAGGATCACGAAAAAATGCAATAAAATAGCGATTCGAGCCTCAAACTAGACACCTATGTGAACAAATACGATCTGCTGTTCCAGTGGAATATTATTGCGCCGCAATTTCCTCACAGCCTTGTGCAACCCCACTGCAGCCCGCGTGCAATCTAATCTCCCTGAATCATCGATCAACTTGTCGTAAAAAGCAGACACAACCTGCCGTGCAGCCTCGTCATCAACAAACCACATAGATCCAATCACACTGCGAAATCCGGAGAACTGCATCGCCGCGGCGAGATGGATCGACTCATCTGGATTCTTCTCGTCGCCCACGGTAGTGTGGCAAGCCGATAAGAATGCAAACTCCGGGTTCTGCCAGTTCGATCGGATGATGTCCTTAATCATCAACGGCCTATCACGCATTGCGAAGGAAGATTCAAATGGTCGTTGTCGATTCGGCATTCCGTGGCAGGCTAGGTGAAGCCACTGGTTATGGTTTAGTGCATCGAGGACACCCTGCACTGTTGCATCGCTGTCCTCGAGCGATGTGAAGGACGACACGATGGGCACGAGACGCTGAGCTATGGCGGCTAATTCAGGAGCGACGCATCGCAGTTCCTTCCCTCTGTCCGGGTTTTCTTGACCAATTGCAACAAAATATTGAGTAGATGCATATTGAGAGACACGCTGTCTCGCACGAACGAGCGTCGCCAAAGTGGGGGTATAAGAGGAAATGTAGATCTCTGACAAGTTATCTCTCTCCCTCTCATAGGGTCCTGCTGCATGTAGAGGAAGCAAAGTAAATTCAGCAGTGGGACACCACCAGATACGCGAGCCATGGCGAACATTTGACTTCCTGAGGGCTTGGACTATGGGGTCAACGATATCATGCCAAAGCTTGCGGAGGATGCTCACAAGCTTGTTCTGATGATCGGAAGAACCAAATTGCTCTGCGACGGACTGAAAATCAGAGGACAATTCGGAGACTTCAGCCTGCGTGACATCAATCGGAAGGTGGACAGGATTTTGGTTACTTAGGACAATCAAGGCGTCGCACCTGTACTGGCTAGCATTGACGATGATGACAGGTCCCTCTTCAGCGGCCTTCTGTAGGTCTGAGAACAGGGGAGGCAGGAGAAATCGAGACAAGTCAGGGAGCATACGAATGCGAGAGACGACATCATTCCATTGGATGGCCAGTTGACGGATTTGTGGAGACTGGTCTTCAGTAGACTGATCAAATGCGCTACGAAGGCGAAAGCTCAGCTGCTCGAACTCTTCCGCCAAGGCTCCGCCGGTATCACCGGGAAGAGAAAGTCCATCAAACGGTGAGCTTAAGCGTGTCAACTGAGTCCAGAACACTGCACGACCTTGCTCCACCAATTCCACAGCAGTTGTCAGCGCACCACGACGAACGCTGCATGAGAAAGCGTCCACAGCAAGGGACGCCGTAGCCATCCTTACGACATCGAAATGACGTGACGAAGACGACAAAAGAGTGACATGCTGATCCAGAAATTTCGATGCAGTTTAATATGCGAGCAATGCAGAACTATGGTTTGTCCCTTCAGCAGCGGTAGCCCATGACTTGGCAGCAGTAAGATCCGCACGAGAGACTGCATGAGATATGTATGGGAGTTGCAAGAACAGGCTAAATGTTTCATCAAGGTCAGACGGGAGGCCCCGCTGCCTGAATCTGTCTCGAAGGCTGGCAGCGAGATTGTTGAGAGACTGTAATCGACCAGAATGACCGGAGGGACGAAGGAGTAATGCAGCCCGATGGAGCTCGATGCACTCATCAAGGTCAGACAGGACGCCCCGCTGCCTGAATCTGTCTTGAAGGCTGAGGGCGAGATTGCCAAGAGACTGTGATCGATCAGAATGACCGGGAGGACGAAGAAGTAGTGCAGCCCGATGTAGCTCGATGCACTCATCAAGGTCAGAAGCGACGCCCCGCTGCCTGAACCTGTCTCCAAGGCTGGCAGCGAGATTGCTGAGAGATTGTGATCGATCAGAATGACCGGGGGGACGAAGGAGTAGTGCAGCCCAATTTAGCTCGATGCGCTCATCAAGGTCAGAAGGGACGCCCCGCTGCCTGAACCTGTCTCCAAGGCTGAGAGCGAGATTGTTGACAGACTGTGATCGATCAGGGTGACCGGGGGGACATCTCCTCAAGGCCGCTCGACAATTTTCCACGTCGCCTGCCATGCTATGATACCACAGTTAAGTTATACGAAGAATGTCAGGAGTACAGGGTGGATGAAGCCGAACAATACAAGTGGGCGAAGACGACGAATACTGTTGAATTATCGCCTTTCATTAGCACAGCATCCGGGCAGATAAGTTTGAATCGCAATGCATACGCACATTAGTGGAAATCCGAGGAATCAAGTAGTAGAAGCCTGTGAGAGTGGCTCGAGTTGGCGTTTGGAGGTTGAAAACATTCATACCTGCCGGTAGCACGTCTATGGCGTATGCACAAAAGGAAGTGAAATGCCGAGCGCTGGTCAATTACGCCAGCTTCCACGTATCCACTGCAGTCGACAGTCACCAATCCACTACAGTATCCAGACGAATCGAAGCTAACGAGCTCTGCGTCTGTCAATATGGAAGTCAAAGTGTCGTAGGCTTGAGACTACCTAGTGCAACATGTGGGGTACGGTTTGATCATGATTCAGAATTTTACACTTTTTATGGAGAACGCTGTAATGAATGTTTAGCCCTAGCGACCATGGCAGCCGACGTTGGTCGTGTTTCTGTGGTGGTCTTCGTCAGACTTTATCAGGAAGGAGTTGGACTTGTGCCAATTGGAAGGTGCCGCTCAATTTCTAAATGTCGTCAAGCCGCCTAATTATACATAATCCGAGGGACCCACCCTCCAAGCTCTCGCCATTTATATTTTAAAGTACTCTTGCATTCCCTCCCAAGCCTTTATGATAACTCCTTATACGAGTCTCTAGCGCCCTTCCTATTTTCTAGCCTTTCCTCCGATACCTCCAGCGCGCTGCCCTCATCTTGTCAACTCTTCCCTACCCCTTTCTTGCCACCACCCGCACCTACACCCAAGACAGTAGTCGAAGACGCCAACACATCTCTTGTCACATTGCACATCCACATGCAAGTCGATGACGCATGAACTAGAGTGCAGCAGCGTAACTTATGCAGCGGGCGCGTGACAGACCCACCTTCCTTAGTTGCTGATGTTGAGAAGAGAAAAGAATCAGGTCTTCCATGACCAACTCAATCGCGTTTCAAAAGAGTTGGTTCGTTTCTTCAATGTCATTCTTAAATGCCACTTGACTCTCGGTTGTTTGCAGGCGACCGGCAAAGCCGGTCTCTCATTTGCTTTGTACAGTCTTGAGAAATAGTCCTCACACAAGCTTTCGGACGAAGAAGTAGCCTATCTTGCTGGATCCCTCTTTGATACCAATTCAGACACGACTGCTGTGGCGATCATGTATGTTGTCATGGCTTGGCATGTTATCCCAAGGTGCGGGAGAAAGTGCAAGAGCTGGACATCATTGTTGGTCCTGACAGAGGTATACCAAGGCTCATCTTTGTGAATGAAACTCAACCTGGTCGTTACAGCTCCCACGTTCGACTACAATTCCCTTCCGCAGATCGAAGCGTTCATGTTGGATGGAAACCTGTTACAACGCTTGGATTTGCTTACTGTGCTTTGGCCGATCTCGTTTATGTACGTTTCCAGTGCTCTGGCTTGTTTTCCCTATTCTTATGGCTGCTTGAGCGGAAACCTACAGAATAATATGCTGATTACACTTTGACAGGGCAATCCCACGCGACCCAGTGTTTACACCAACCCCGACAACTTCAATCCCGAGAGATGGCTCAGCAGCAAAGGCAAATTTTGGGACAACATGAAGTTCCCTTCATATGGCTTTGGACACAGGAGCTCGCCTGATATTGGACCGAGTAGAACCTTGCTAGAAAACAACCTGCAGAATCTCCCCCGGGCGGTACATAGCGTTCAATCTTCATCAACATCGCGCCCCTCCTGTAGTTGTTCAAGACCAGTCAGGACCCAGAGAACCGGATTGATGAGATGAGCTTCGTGGATAACGTGATTTTACACCCCAAACCGTTCAATGCGCGCTTTCAGCCGCGGTTTGGGGATGAGGCATTATTGAGGGACGTGATGGCTCAGTATGGGAAGGGGTTGTAGGATCTTGAACATGGGGTACTGACTTATGCATGACATTGGGATGTTGAGGTTTGTACTATTGGCGAGTAGCATCAGGTTGTTTTTGGAATATCGAACTTCAACGTGACTGCCCAGGACCTCAAAATAGCGCGCGTGTGGTTGTATCGACACTGCATGTCGACTTTGCGCAACTTACACATGCACCATCCAAGTCTCAATTAACCCAAAGTACTGCCTACCAGTGGACACGTTCTATGGTATATGGCTACTCACAGGCTTCTTGCATGTGCGCCGCTTTTTTTACTTGCATATCATGTTCAAAATACCCCTGCAGATTTCTTGTTCCGCCAGTCAGCACCAGTCTCATGCAAGCATTGGTTCTCTGACTTCCTTCTTGCTTCCCTTGCTCAGTACTTCTTGACGCGTGCAACACCCGCCATCCCGAGCGCAATTGCAAAAACAGAACCGACTTCGCCTGAATTGATTGGGTCAACTCTTGGAGGTGCTGCTCAAATTTTTAATGACATTGTCAAGTTACATATGTACACAGACCTCTCGACAGTGTGGCTGTGTACATCTCCAAATTTTGCAATGTGATTGGTTCCATGTGATCTGTTGACGACGGCAGATTGTGCGATAACCCAAATGATGGCTCAGGGGAATTGAGCTGCACATGGGCTGCGGTAGTGTCGCACATTGAAGGCTGTGAAATCGTTGCGCAAGAAGATTCCAATGAAACAGCGGATCGCATTTGCGTTTAGTTTGAGCGTCCGTAAACCATGTTGCACATTTTCTGTAATCCTGTTATTTAACATTTCTGTATGATAGGATTTTTGACATTGCATTGTGTGCTAATACTGCTGTATACATCAATTATTAATAGTGCGTAGTTACAAAGCTAATTGTATTCGTGCGCACTGTGCATGGCTAGTATCAAAATATACTTAGTATTTTAACACATGAAACTGATACAAGCGAACTGGTACAACATCACATCAGGATACCGCAATCGTCGCATAAGGAAAACAAGAATCCTCTGCAACTTCACATCCAAAAACAGAATCCAAAACCAGCCTACCAGTGGTGAGAGGAAATAGCGGACTGTACGTTGACCCGGGTGGTAAGAAGAGCGAAGCTAGTGCTGTCATCCCGGACGGTGGTGGATAAGATACCAGTATCCATGAATGCGTGCAGGTTAAGCATCAGTCGAGAGATGAGAGTAGCGGACATGCTAGAGGTAATATATAAGATCGGCCCGTATGTATTGTATCAATGACTCACGAGCTAGTAAATGTGGCGAGACTGCCTCTATTGTCAACCTTGGCAATTATCGGGAAGTAGTCAACCAAATATTGCGGGTTTATATGCTTACTGAATTAGACTAATTCAAACTGTCAGCACTTTGACTCCATTGATATTCATTCGTTGACTCACATAGTACGTCAGGATGTTCGGTATATTGAACAGTGTCATCGCTCTGAGGGCATGTGGATCAGATTCACTCGAGCCACGATCTCGCTAGAGCCTCACCCGAAATACATCGCACCTGTGTTAGGCCGATTCAGCATTTGTATTACAGGCGCAACGAATGTCTTACCGTCGTGAAATACGATATCAACAATGTTGCTCCTGGTAAACAGAGACAACCGCAGCAAGCCTCTAGTTTTGCAAATTCTGTACACTGTAAGAATAAAAATGAGTAATTCAAAGATGAACAGGGCCACCCATGCCAGCCCAACGCCTGCAATTGGAGAAGGCCATGACATCAAGTTGCGTGCAAACGTGATTTAGAATTCACTGACGAGCGGCTCTGCAACAACTTTTGAGAAAACGCACAGAACGGGGGTGAGAACGACGTACACTGTTGCTGTATATGTTTCATAGCAGCCAACTCCTGGAAAAATGGTCGCATTGCTTGAGAAGTGTCCAATGGCTCCCGCCTAGGAAGGATCAATAGACACTCGAGTCCAAACGTCTACGTGAATACATACACAAGCTCCTGCTATAAGAGTGAAACCGATGATTATCATCCAGGTAAGCAAACGCTTATTACAGCCGTAGAGAGCATAAATGCGAATGGTCAATACGACTCCGTGGGAATTTTAGCATGCGTATTTCTCGCAATAAACTCGTAACTCACAGCACACGATGATTCCTTGCGAAAAAAAGAACAGTTGTCTGCATAACGTGAATTTCACACAACTAAGCCACTGTTGAGCAAAATAACAAATATGCAAGAACCAGAAATGAAACCTCTGTGGAAGTGAGTTCTGTGAGCTTGCGAGTTGGGTACATGCATAATGAAATCATCGAACCTCGTCTGAAATGGGCAGGAAATCGATGCATAAGGCGAATATATTGCCGAGCAGAGCCATATAGCGATTGACGATAAATAACTTCGCAGACAGTGCCTTCGGACGACGCCAAATAAAAGTGATTTCTTCTGGGAGGGTCACCATATGGTCGTATATCAGGATACCTAGAAAATTTGTCATCGCTCGACGCTCGGAAATTAAAGATAAAATGTCCTAATACTGTTTGCCACGAGAACGGCGTACAAGTGCATCCACCTGGTAAATCGCAAGGATCAGGATACACAGTACATCTATGCAAGCACCACTCACAACTGCTGTGATTCATTAATATCCGACATTCCAACGAGACAAATACAACAGGGTGAGGATGTTAAAATACCCATCCTGCACAATCCTATAAGTATCAAATTACATAGTGACGTGACGTAGCAATGCTAACGTGCCTTCCAGTACTTGGTATAGGAATAAATCAAGTGCCATGATGTTTACAAGCTGGAATTGAGTTCGCGCGCAATATGTGTACTGTTACTGCTGTGCACCGATGTCGAGAAATTTAAAGTAAGCTATCAGCATATGCATGTGGTACTAACACAGATCGACACAGAATATGATTCGTTAACCACGCTGTCAGTGTAGCAGCGCATATGTTGCTGTCAATCATGGCACCATGGCGATGAAAGGGGCTTCCGGGCCTCCCTCGAGTCCTCTCCCATCCAGAATGGCAAAGAAGGAGGTCCATGGAACCGAATTTGGCAACACAAGGACAACATGGCGGTGCAAAATCAGTTTTCTGTTTGATATCTGTCATACTCACGTGGATCTACAGGGAAAATCACGTTGATCATTGTGCAGGCAGCACAGCACAGATACAACGTTGGGACAGCTTGCGTGTTTCAAACGTCTCCTGTAGGCAGGAGAATAGAGTGACTCGGAAATCTTGAGAAGGTGGGTGACAGTTACTGATCGTTCTCGTGACATCACATCACGCTTTTATCACACGTCATGTTGAATGTTGTTGACAACGTTCAACGTTGAGCGCTTTGAGCAAGCACTTGCCTTTCTTTCTTCCGTTTTATCTCAGAGTGTTATCGTGCATTGTGCAACAGCTGCCCATTGCCCGACGCCACTCAGAGCTTAATTGGCTGTTATAATACGCACACCCCCAACGCCATGGAAACAAGCAGCTCCAGACAGCAGAAAGGACAGATGATATGCTCTCGGTAAAATCCATAGCATAGTAAGATTGTTTCTCTGAGAACCATCGTCGTGCGAAACATCTTTTGACACACACACAGCATCTACTCAATGAGAGCACTTTTCGACTTCTAAGATTCTGGGCGCTTCAAGTTCAGGCTACTCATCTGATTGATTTTCTTGCTCGTTCGACATATGTGCGGTGAGGATTGGAAATGGGTGTCGGGACTTAAATGTCATTGAAGTCGTGCAAGAGCTGAGTTGTCGACTTTTTAGGGAGGGGATGTCTCCTGCTAATCTCCCCTAGCCAAACCATACAGAAGGAATATAGTCTCCTGCTGTTTCAAGGGTGTCAGCCCACCAGGGTCTGTACACTGTAGAGACTCGTTAAGGAACGTCATCCAATACGACGACGACGTTCCTTGGCGAGTCTCTACAGTGTAAAGTGACATCGTTCTTCGAGTCGGCCTCTTTGTGCACTCTCATATTCACAAATTATTGCACCACTCGGTCATCCTTCCATCGCAAACTACCGAATCACTAGGTACCACCAACTGACAGAGGGAAGGTCATCAACGGTATCAGTCATTGAGTCGATTCTTCAAGCTTTCAAGCTCAAGTTCCATTGCGTTCTCATTCACCACTATCACACCACCTAATCATCCTTCTAACATGATTTGGACGGTCTCCAACAATCATGCTAGAAGGATCAGATACAACCCTCATATGATGATTCTCTACAGAACACAGGCTATGCAAAAATATCAAAATCGAACCGACGCAACCATCCCAAACGCTCTAAGCAACCTCCACAAAAGCCCTATAAAGCTTCAACGCCGTCTCAAGCGCCGAAAACTTCACCTCTGTTCCCGCTGCAATGAACACCACCTGCCCCTTCCCTACCCCCAACCTCTTCGCTCCCTCCGCCCACACCACCGTACCCTCGCCCTCGACTACAATAGCAATACTCGGCCCTCTTAGCTTGTGATGGCTCTCGACACCTCCTTTCGCCACAATGACTTGCATCACTGCTAGTTCGTCGATGGGCGGGTTGTATAGAAGCGATCCGGATGTGTGCGTGCTTCCGCGGGTGAACATTGTGGGTTGGATGAGAGTTTTGCCTGAGGTTGGGTTGTATGCGACGTTTGAGAGGAAGGTGGAAATGTCGAGGTTGGATGGGGGGGAGAAAGCGAGGGGGATGGTGTTGTCGGACGTTGCTATGCATTCGATGATGTCTGGAACGAGTTAATTTATCTTATTGAACGCAGTTTGGATGACAATTCTCGTACCTCCTGTGATGTATGCGTGGGGCTCTCCGGTGGCGACGGAGAAGGCGTGCCCAGGCTTTAAATCGAAGTAGTTGAGTATGAAAGCGCAGAAGACGCCGCTGTCGTTAGGGTACATCTCATGTAACCGCAAAACGAGCGATTTTACAATCTTTTCTTCGTCGGATTCTTTTCCGGCTTGATACCTGTCTATGAGACGTTTGAGTGGCGCCACCTGCTTCTTCCTTATCTACCTGTGCATAGCATGAGAACAGGTCTTTGAGAGCTGCTTTGCATTCTGATTTGTCGGGCGAACGCGCCACTGATGTAAAGTGCTCTATGATATCGGCTGGGAAGAGGGAGGCGAACTCTGGGACGAAGGAGAGGAACTTAGATACTTGGGATGTTGGGAGGAAACCGCAGAGAGCACTGAAATCTGAAAGGGCTAGAGCCATTCCTGATTTGTGGTTCGAGTCTGCGTTTACTTAACATATGCCATCTCATAGCATGGAGAGGCCTTACCTACGTACACCCTGGGATTTTCTGAATTTATGTGTTCCGCATTGTGCTTGTCAAGATGGATTTGCACGGGGAGTGCCTGGTCGAAAGACAAGACTTTGAACAGGAATGGAATCTGTCCATTTTCCAAGCCGAACCGCTTAATGGAGGGTTCTCCGACGAGTCTTGGGTGGGCTGCGAGATGCTCCGAGAGTAGCTGTCTGGTGGAATGGACTCGTGTTGGCGCGTTGGGGTGAGTGCCCATCCATATCTATGGAATGTTAGACTGTGTGCAGATTACTTTAAAGGACAACGAACTTCTGCGTAGGGTTTTGATTCGTCTATTTTGAAATCTGGTATACCTGCGCCGTCAGCGAGCTGAGCTGCCAGTGAGTTGCTACCTTTCTTCCCCCATGGATAGTTCTGCGTTGCAGGAATGAGGCGAAATACTTGTTCTGTCATCGCGATTGGAGCGCGAAGCAAGGGAGCATGGCTGGTTATATAGGCATCTGGGAGACGCGCACGGTGAGGTCATCATGACGCGCCTATCACGTGCCATTATCTTTCGGGATTCCCCTAAACCTTAATCGCATGAACTGCATAACACCGGCGATTGCCGTACACGGAAATCCACGCTGCTATCGTCGACCTCAAGCCTAAGACATCGCCGACGCCGACAACCATGGTCAACATCCCCAAGTACGTTGCCAGTCTCATTCACTAGCCAATTGGGAATAACTGATGAATTATTGCTGAAAAGAACTCGCCGGACCTGTGAGTAGCCTCTGTTCTTGTTATGTATTCGCAAAAGTTAATGGTTGTGTGTAGACTGCAAGGGCAAGACGTGCAAGAAGCACACGTATGTTCATAGTTTGGGTCTATGGTGTCAGAACCGCTGAGAACGCTATGCAGGCCCCACAAAGTGACGCAGTACAAAAAGGGCAAAGATTCCCTGTTCGCTCAAGGAAAGCGTCGTTACGACCGTAAGCAATCAGGGTACGGTGGTCAGACTAAACCTGTCTTCCATAAGAAGGTGTGTTTTTCAGTGCGAGACCATGGGATTCTGCTTATTGGGTTTTGGGGATGTAGGCAAAGACAACGAAGAAGGTCGTGCTGCGGTTGGAGTGCACGGTGTGCAAGTACAAGATGCAGCTTTCGTTGAAGCGTTGCAAACAGTACGTCTTTGTTCTATTCACGGCATGTACAGATCTGATGTCTTCTGAAGCTTCGAGCTCGGTGGTGAGAAAAAGACAAAGGGTGCTGCCCTCCAATTCGTACGTCACTTTGCTTATCATTGGGTTCTAGCAGCTAATGATGACTGTATAGTGAGCGTCTTGGGAGTCGTTTCATATTTTGTTTTCCACTGCTATGTATCCTCAAACACATTATGACATGACATGCAGCATACTTATTCTTACGTGTGACTGGTGATGCGCCTTCCCTGATGAGCCGACTAGCCTATCAAGCTCTAGTGTGAGTGTCGCCGAGTGTGAAGATAATTACAACGCCCTAGCAACAACAGCTAGTAGCCGCCCATTTTACGACGTTAGTGGAGCACAGATTAGGCGATGTAGTAGCGATGAGCCAAAATGATTCAGTAGCGCCGCATTGATTTTTTTGAAATTGCTGTGATGTGGCTCGTGACGGTAAATTCCACGACGGCCTACTGTTTCTTGGTCATTCTTAATTTCTTATCGCGAACCTGGAACTAGAAGGAACCGTTGGGGGTACTACCCGTTAGTATAAAGAGGAGTCATCTAAAGGAGAAGGATCTTTTTCATGCACGCTCCAAACGTAGTCGAGACCCGCGATTCTGTGCGTGGTCTGATCACTGTCGTCGAGGAGGTTGAGCTCATTGACATTGACATTGACATTGTAGACGAACGTGTCCACTTCACAAGATGACTCCGAGCTATCATCACACGCCAGCCCGCCCTCTACACCTCCAAGAGGTCGTACACGTTACCCTGACACGCTAACTCGCGTTCCCTTGCATCGTCGTGGAACATCCAAGACATACGAGCGCCTCGAAGACCTTCTTCGCGAGGCTGGTTACAAAGAAACTCGCGTCTTTACACCAGAATCCGAGCGACACACAGATCATGCGACCGATAAACACACGAGCAACGTGCGTGGCGGTGTAGGTGCCGTCGTCGGTTTCCTCGCCGGCCTCGTAAGCCGCAATTCGAGTCTGGCACGGGAACCAATCTCCAACAACGATTCACACTCTCAACCACCATCACCGCTTGCACACATCAAGGCTCTCCATGCATCTTCTTCCACATCCTCCTATTCCTTTAACACATCCCCAGAGAGCCTTCGTAAGCATTCCCGCTTTCACGCCACCCAGGGCCAGGCCCGACGCGACCTATTCCCCGAATCCCATGGCCGGTCCCAAGCCCCGGGTGCCTACATGCGCCATCAATCCTCGTCTGGCTTCTCCAAAGACGCTCCAAACGCCCACGCATACCTCCGACATATGGCATCAGCACCAAACATTCAACCCCTAGCTAAACGCCCCTCCTCATCAAATGTCTCCCTCCGCTCCCATCGCACTCCCCACGTACAACCCCGTTCCTCCCGTCGAGTCTTGCTCCTCACAGCAGACGACATCATCGAGACGGACGACCCTCCGCCGCTCCCTCGTAACTGGATGGAATCCGTTGCTAAAGCCCTTCTCTCTGGTGTTCCTGAGACTGCTTCTATGTACAAAACGAGCTCGACATTATCAGAGACGACGAATAGACCTAAGGAACAGAGACGTCCACCATTGCTATGCGCACAGGTGCGGGAACAGCGCGCAGGTACGATTGAAGGGAAAGTGAGCCAGACGAACGTCATGTGTAGGTCTACGCCTACGTCGCGTGCGGGATCGAGGGTGCGTAGAACCGGTGCTGAAGACGATGAATCGAGACATAGACGTGACGAAGAGAGACGGAGGAAGAACAAGCGGGAGGAAGAATCAAGGAAAGGAAAGGGGAAAGGGAAACGCAAGGAATCAGATATGGTTCCTTCATTAGCCCGTACGAGGGTTGAGAACGACGAGTGGAGTATGAGCAGGTGCCTCCCCGCGAGCCATAGACAGGAGGGACCGTGTTCTTCCAGTTCATCCTCTGAAGATGACGACGAAGAAGACGAAGGAGAACTAGACCTAGAACGGTTACTCGTCCCAGCCAGACGCCAAGCCTCCATTCGCAGTCTCCGAAAACATCTTCATCCACCCAATACAACAGGTAGCCTCCGAGGGGTTCCTCGAACGTCCCCTACTGTCAGCGGTACCACCAACACCATCAACGGCCAACTCTCGTCTTTCGCACCAGGTTCACGACAGCATATCTGGCTAAACGATTCCTGGGGCAGAGGTAGAGGCCGCAGGTGGGTCGTAGGCGAAGATGACGATGATGAAGGGGACGGATATGGAAACGGGAGCACTAACGACGCGTTGTTAGCGTCTGAGATTGGGGGGACCGGTTCTAACGCCAGTACTCGTACACGTGCGGGGATGAAGCGCCGCCGCGGGTTGCCTGGCGCGTGGGTGCAGTGGGGCGGTTGAAATTGATGCTATGATGATCAAGGGACTTCCCCTTCCTCTTCCTGGTTCTAATCGTTTGCAGGGATAGACCCACGTGCGGAACGGGGTTGGTTTGTTGGTGCTTTGGAGTCTGAACCCATCGTTCATTCGTGCGTGCTTGACTATTCGCATTTTTTTGTTATTTTCATCTTCGCTTTCGTTTCATGCACATTGTTATGGTATGGTATAATACATATGCTTTATTGATGTTGTGGCCGGTATCTCAGATCTTACTGGGACGAAGGATACGAGTAATATACTTTGTTCTAACTCGAAGAATAAATGTAATTGTTGATGGTCTTGGTACTTCTTGAGCTTCGTCATTATTTAACGTGTTACTTATTGTACTGAATCCTTGTGCATCATGGCTCGAGGAAAGGAGAGATATGCCACTGCCAGTGCTCCTCGCTTTACTCCTTCCCTTCCTAGCCCTCTTGTGGTTGACGTCCCCATGGCTCAATGAGAGAAATGCCATTGCTGACTTTTCTCATCGAGATCAGATGATGGCTCACATCAGTAAGCTTTTGGGTCCTACTAATTGATTATGATTAACTCATTCTGTCATTCACGGTCCTCAGTTCCAGTAATAGTGTTATTCATAAATTTTGATGCCCTCTATGACAGCGAATTTGCAAAGCTAGGAAATGAAGGAGCGTTGAGGAAAGATGCGAAAGAACTAGTTCCCAAGAGTGCCATGGAGTCGTTTATGAACGGGCCAGAACTTAAGTTTATATATATGACCCTGCCACATCCGTTGCACGCCAAGACATCATATATGCCTTCCTAGTAAGCCAATAGTAAGCTGTTTAATTACTAATTTGAGGTCAACAGGACTGCTTATCTATATTTGACATTCAGACATGGATGAGGATGCTGCAGGTTGCCGGCCACTCATTGAATGCACGACTGAAGCACTGGATGATGAAACACTCAAGCAGTTCATCATCTCAACTCAGCAGACCCATCAGGAGCTGTGCATTGAATATGCAGTTGAGAGGCAACTCCCTGAACCTTATTTTTGAATGGCAATAGCTGAATTTGACTCTAGAACACTTTCGGTGCACCTTGATTCTGTTCAGACAACCTTCATATTGGCAGATGTTCAGGGGGAAAAGCTAACAGCCAACCTGTATCAGGAAAAATGTTGGCCATGAGTTGCACTCTGCAACATTATGTAGCACTAAGTAGGCCACATAGCACAACAGAGCATCTTCATGTGATCCATAGCTCAATAGAGCACCCTCGTATGATACATAGCACTATGTACAGTCCTGTAGCACATTTGGATGCCAATATTAGCTATGCAATACCACCTTGCCCATGATAGCCAATGTTGTGCTATATACCCAATATCATTGCTCCTTGGGCACCCTACAGGCTGTACAACAGGCGCTCAAATAATTCTAAATCAATAAACCTGTTGAGGTAAAACTCTTCTGCCACCTCTCAACTGAACCATGGCGCAAGGTGAACTGGACGAAGCACTCAATCAACTGGTAGAACTGCTGCATTGGGTCGATGTTGCCACGAAGACTTGGTGAGTCAAAAACACTGTAGATTTTTGTTGAAAGTCTGAAGCAGGTGGAACCAGTGAATATACACCAGGGGGCATGCAAAATGACCCAGACATGGTGGCAGGCTGAACATGATCTTGACTTCACTGATGCGAAGCCCTATTAAGAATAATGAGAAGATGCAGATAAATGCAAAATATCATGACTCACCTGAGATACCCTCACCAGTGTACTCCTCATGATCTTCAATCATGAGGACCGTATCAAAGCGTGCAGGAGCCAGTAATTTCCTGATGTCCTTTGGTGCAATCTCTGGTGATGCCTGGACCTTGAATATGCATTTGGCGCTATTGAAATGTGGTCGTGCGGGTGAGACCACCTTCACATACTTGTACACATCAACACAGTCTTGCAGTGTCAGTTTTCAGTGGGGGTGAGTTTGCAGGTTGTGGCGGAGAAACTGTTCAAGTGTGGGAATGATCAGGGAAGCATCATGGTTTTCAACTAACTGCTGAAATGTTGAGTTTGGGAATGGGCATGTCCTAGGCACAAAATATCCGCAAGACACTGTGAACATAGTGAAACAATGTATCTAGCAAGGTAGGTCTGCCACTCGTAGCTTGTGGTGGTCAGCTGGTGAAGGTGACTTGGCATCAGAACCAGAGTTGATACTGGAGTCCAAGTCCTGTGAGTGTGAATCTTTGTTAGCAGGATTTTGTGAGGCCTGCCAATGCAGATAAGTATCTTGAAAGTAGATAGATTCTTGATGGTGTAGCCATGTAGTCATTTGAATAACATAATCACAGTGATTGGAAGCACAATATGCACACTTGGCAAAATCTATGTGGAGGCATTCAGGGAGCTCTGTGTTAAAACTGTCAGCACTCCCAAACAAATGGATTGAATCAATGTAGTGTACCATTGAATGGATTTTCAGGATATTGAAGTGCTCTGTTAAGAACCATGCTCAAGGGAGAGAGAGACTGACTCAGAGGGGCTTGGCCTCAGCTTGTACGCTGTGCCCCTTACCTGAGTATGTGCCCTTCATTTCAGAGGAAGTCCGGAGGACTTCCGGAGGCTGGCTACTCTGGTGGAGAGTGCTAGAGGACTTCCAGAGGAGTGTGGGAAATGTCTGGAGGAGCGTGGGAGAGTTCCGGAGGAATGCAGGAAGTGCTCAGGAGAGTTCCCACTGCAAGGTAGTACTTCTACAGGAAACAGGATGGAAGGGTAGGATGTCTGGAGGTCTGGAGGACAGGAGGACAGGAGGACAGGAGGACAGGGGGACAGGAGGACAGGGGGACAGGAGGACAGGAGGACAGGAGGACAGGAGGACAGGAGGACAGGAGGACAGGAGGACAGGAGGACAGGAGGACAGGAGGACAGGAGGACAGGAGGACAGGAGGACAGGAGGACAGGAGGACAGGATGTCCGGAAGTATGGAGGACAGGAGGACTGAAGGTCCAGAGGACAGGATGTCTGAGGGTTAGGAGGATGGGATGTCCAAAGGACAGGATGCCTGGAGGTGCACAGGACAGGAGGTCTGGAAGGAATAGGGGCTACATCGGACTTTGTCCAATGTAGAAGCAAACAGAGGTAGACTACCCTTAGGTAGAGTTGGAGAGACAGGAAGTGGACCAAAGTCTGGAGAGAGGGTAAGTGCCGGAAAGGCAAGACTCCAGTCTAGGGAAACAATCCCTAGACTTGGGACAGAGACATAGGGGACAAATCCGAAGGTCTGGAATTCCAGCCTAGGGAATCCATCCCTAGGCCTTATGGAAAAGGACAAAACTCAGATGGACTGAAGTCCGGAAGGTGATTGGGCAGATCTAAGGTGATATTCAGACTGAGGACTCTACTGTAGTTGTACAGGGGTTATATACTAGAGGCTATCTGAGAGGATCAGTAAGCAAAGGAGTAAGGCTATGTATGAGCATGCAGAAACACATTAGTAAGTAAGACAGAACATAACTAAATGAACTTGGAGATGAAGATTCATACAAGGATCAATCAGCAAGACGGACCAGGAGGTAACCAAAAGCCGGAAAGGCAGAGATGCCTAAATGGGGATAGGCGCAGGATATCAGACAGAGGGTGGGAATAGGTCCGGAGTTAATATCTGGAGGTCCGGAGATCTGGGGATCCAGAAGACAAGGTGGATACAGGACCAGGATATGAGAAGGTGGATATAGTCTGGAATCTGAGATGAGGTGAAGTCCGGATGTCTTGCTGGATGGAGTGCACATAGGGTGGACAGGATAGGGTGGTATGGATCAGGCTAGCAGTGAGGATCCGGAGGTCCGGAGCTCAGGGGTAAATCCAGAGTGGAGTCAATCCTACTGAGGTGTGGAGCACACAGCAGAAGGGGATCTGGCAATGAGTTGGATATGAAGTGGGGTCCGGATGTAGGCTCGGAAGGCGTGGGAATATTATGGAATGTGAGTCTGGATTGTGGGATATGACATGCTCCTGCACCCCATGTTCGACAAAAACATTCTTGTTGGAGTGGAACAACTCCAGTGCAGCTTGCATGTGAGACAGGGTTTCTTCAGTATGGGACTGGTACTGTGCATAGTAAATAAAGTCCAACACTCCATGTACTGCTGCAAGTACTCTGTTGTCAACAGCACCTGCAATAACACAAAGGAAAATACGCTCCAATTCCCTGTAGTTGGCTCCTGTCCATTGCTTGTGTTTCAAGATACCTTTTTTGAAGTGCCATAGTCCAGTGTAGGAACTCATTGCCTTGAAATGAGTGTCGAGTTCATCCTCGCCAATGATTTTCATGCACCATGCAACAAGATGGTCCTTGAATATGCCTTTGTGTAGTTGGTGCAGTATGTTGGGTGTCATGGAGAGAAAGATATCATTGTGTGGGAGAGCTGCCCAAAAAGGTGAGTAAATTGCCCACAGACCCAGCTCACTCTCGAACTGATTGCTGCTCATTTCACCCTCAGAGTGAAGCTGTAAGTTTGCCATTGTTGTGTCTCATCTCTGTGGCGCTGACTCTCTCATATCTCTGTGGTTGTCACATCCGACAGTGCATTTTGGACACCTGTTTTCCATACAGCAGGCTATGAGGCATTGCTCTGGAAAGTCGGCAATGTATACAGCTACAATTGGATGCATCTGCCTGACTTGATGGTCAGGGCAAGTAATGTTGACTCCATTCTCACCTGCACTGACCAAAGGCTCTAGCACCTGTGCCATGCAGTAGTGGAATAACTGGTAATGTTCAACTGAATGAATGTCTTGCGTGAAGTACTCCAACTCGGATATTGGTAAGTAGGCGATTAGGATGGCTGCATGCTTTGATGGCTGATGGTGTATGTCTTTAGAGATGTTGCCAAGTGTCAAGTACATGGGCCATACTTCCTGATCCCCACAGAACTGTGATAGGGAGGTTTTATCCAAGGCCAGGATCATGGGCACAACAACTGCCCCTTGGGGTAATCTATGCTGTGAGAATGGACTTAGTGCATCATTTCCACATGTATAGACTATACCTCAGCTTACCTGCATTTCCCACCACCAGTCGCCAGTCCACATGCCATCAAACATGCATGTCTTTCCCTCCTTGTCTGCAAAAACTTTCTCTGGTGCATATGACATGCAACCATCAAACTCTGGATTGCTCATCAGCTCATGAATGCAGTCCACCAGGTCATGCAACCACAATTCCAGGTCCTCCTTCTCATGCTGCCCATCATTGGCAGTTCTATTGCCCACCACGTTGATCTTCCTCAGTTTCCATTTGGTTGCTTGAGGAAGTTTGTCAATGGCTTTTAGCAGCAAATATTTGCTTGTAAATGAGGTCTTCATGTGGCTAGTCTTTGTCCTGGTCCATAATATGTGAGTGTCTGATCAGAGTGAAGTGGTAGTGTGAAGCTGACTTACAATTGGCAGTTTCAGAAATTCATCTATCGCAGTGTGCCCAACACACAAGATCAATCATTTGACTAACCCCCACTCTTCCTTGTCTGCAAATGGTGCCCACAGGTCTAGGCCCTGAGCCTCTTGCTGTGCTTGGATGTCCTGGAACATGATTTCTGTTTGGCCAAGTGTTCACGCGACTTGCCCAGGGTACGACTGGATGAAGCACATCCATGTTTATTCTTCGTCTTCCACCTCTTCAAGCCCAACATACTGATCTGGTCTTTGTGGGGGTCTTTGTGGGCCTTCTTGATTGTCATTGTTGCAAGGTACTCCATCATCAATGTCCCAAACTCCATCAACATCCATAGGATCTCTAGGTTCGTCCAAGTCACCTCTGGGTGTTGCCTCATTTCCTATTTGCTCACACTCACGGAGCCATTCCATCTGGTGCTTACAGGATGATGTTTTGCTGATATGGAGGCTAACAGCACCTGCACTCTTGAAGCTGCCTTTCAGGTAGAAGTTACAATGATGGGACATGATGGTTGTGCAATAGGCCTACAAGCCGAAAATCCCAACACAACAAATCCCGATGTGAGTGACAGTGACAGTTCAATCAAGTTGCACCCAGCTGACTTAGCAAATCCAGGTGCACCATTGGGACATGAAAATTTTTGTTTCATCCTCCAAGATCACTGGTGTGTACCAATCTCACTTTGTTGTCTGTTCTACTTTGGCCATCATCTTGGTTGATCAGATCAGTGGCACCTGACCCTGATCTAAAGTTAGTTGGATCAGCAGTGTCTGAAGGTGCATACTCTGTTGATTTGTTAATGGTTAGAATCTGAGTAGAATCCCTCAAGTGATCCCTGATCACACTGATTAAGGTGCATACTCTGTTGATTCAATTCAAGTGTGTTGTTGGTGCATTCTGTTGATTTGTTTGTAGCATGACCACACGTGATGCTATAAAGGTCAAGCCCTCTCCAAGCCATTACCTCACAACAACTTATCACTCCTTCATCCAGAATGTCTTCTGCTGCCCCCATTCATCAAGCCCTGACCCAACTGATCAACAATGGCCCTGGTGGAGCTCCCTCACAGTGTCAACAGCATGACCGCCATCCCTCAGAGAGGGCACTTTATCAAGGTCTGTGCTCATTGAGTATGTGCTACTAGATCTACTGCTCACTATGTCACATCTAGCTGAGGAAGAGCAAGATCACAATGTCCATCGGCAAAATGGACAATGCAAAATCAAGGTGACATGCAAAAAGGGCATGGATGAAGGTATGTTGTTTACTTCATGTCATTATTAATCTGCTAACTACTTATATGTCCAGGTCATGATGGCATGCAGGTCACACCTTTTTGTTTCCCCAGTGCAATTTAATACTGACCATTTGATAGTTTTCATCTCAAACTATCAGCCTGTCAAATGGCAGTGTCCCGGCCAATGGCCTGCTTGATTTGAGGCCCTGGTTTAGTAGGGTCCCCCCACCAGACAAGCACAAGCAAGACCAACCCTCAAGCATGTCAGTTCAAACCTCAAGACAAGACAAGTGCATGCCAGTCCAAACTTCCCAGTCTGGTGGCTGGTGGGAAGACACTTTAACAAAGGTGAGTTGGCTGGGCCATACTTAACTTCATCTCTACTGGTTGCACACTGATGTTTGATTCATAAGGACTCTGGATTTGTCAATTGTGGCCATGCATCCAATGATAGCAGTGTAAGTCTCATCAATGTTGTCTTGTTTTGTGCACTGATCATTGAATTCAAGGTCCCATCTGCACCTCACAAGTTGACAGTAGCTCATGCAAAAGAGCTCATGCAACTTCAGCAGGTGCAGTCCACTATTAATACTCCAAGTCAAGGCAACTTAGATGATGACTTGTACCAGTCCAACAGCAAACAGAATCACAGCAACAATTACAAAGATTACAAGAATGAAGATCATACAGATGATGATGACATCTTCCTGGGTAGAGATGGGGAGGACAATGCTCACTGTAATGGTGAGTAATACTATGTTACTTGAACACACATACTGAATGATTTATCAGGTTTGCATAAGCATCCATGATCACCCTCAGACAATGAGGGTGATGGCACTCACAGTCACTACAAACAGATGTGCAAGTCTGAGGACTCACCTTCCCCACAGCAACTGTGTCTTCCACAAAAAATCCAGAAGAGTAAAGGCTGAGTTGCAGCCCGCAATTACAAGGTAGCTGTGCAGCAGCTACTTAAATTTTCAATTAGCTCTTTGTGCACCTGGCTTGCTTCTGAGTATGCATATCCAGACTGTATGACTCAAGTCTTGTGGGCAAAGGAGGCATGGAAGGAGGGATATGCCACTTATGAGATTGAGATGGGCTTCAATAGTGAGATCATTCAAATTGTACATGTTTTATTTATATTATTTCACCTGCTGACCTCTTGCTTGAGATTACCCGTCACACATCACATCTCACAAGTCAGGTGAAAGGGAAGGTTCATTCACTTGTCGAGAATATTTATGGCTTTGAGCATGGCAGTCAGGAGTCTGTCAAGTCCAGGAATTACAGACTTGCCCATCAGCTCAAGAATAAATTTGGTTTGTGTTACCAGGTGAGTGGTTATTGTCTTGGATTATATAGTGTGCTTATACTTTGTTTGAAGAACCCTGGAGATGAGAAACACAAGGTCCCTCACAGTGGGCTTTTTCATATGAAGTTGAATCAGAAAGTGGCCAATTTGCTCTGGTACAGTAACAAGAAGGATGAAGGGGTAATGTTTGAGAAGCTTTTTAATCTGTTTCCCATTCCTGCTTTGGCATTGGTGTATGCAGCGGTGAGTCACATGTTTAGTTATTTGATTCCGAGTGCGCAATATATTCATTAGCAAAAGTGACGCAGCCTGACAAGGCCTTACCAGGCATGGCAAGACCGCTCCAGCCTGGTGTACCTCCCCAAGGCTGACCACACCTTGTAGACAACCTCTCCCCCATATCAGGCAGGCACCAGGCTGGTCAAAAGCCATCAGAATTGTGTATTTTAAAAAGTCTTGGGATGCCTTGTGATATTGATGCAGTCTGGCCAGTTCTAATCAGGCTGTTCATAGCTTACATGAATCATACCACACAGATCATACACTGCAATGCAATAAATAGAAACCAGTGAATTTCATGATCATACAATACAAAGCAGTGAAAGTAGTAAAAGTACACAGGTGTCTATACAAGTCCGACACCATCTGAAAGCAGGATCAAGGTGTGATGAGAGCAAAAATGATGATGCAAGAAACATGAAGTCTGAAACATTGTAAGTGCAGGAGCGGTCATGAGTGCAAGAGTAATGTACAGCATGGGCATGAGATGATCGAGTGGAATGCAGCAAGCAACAGCATTGAAATCTGTGTGATCAAAGCAAGAGTCAGAATAGGCAGACTGACCAGAATTTAAAATACCTAGGCAGCCTTTTTACCATGACAAGGTGCAGGCTTTTTCTTTGGAGGTGCAGGAGCTTCCGCATCTGGGATATCTGCACCACCCACCTCATTAGTTGGTTCTTCAACCTGGATATCACCACCAGAGAGATGTGCAGAACCACAAGTTTTGGACTGTGCCTTGGGTACCAGTTTGGCCTTTGGAATGGGTTTAGGTCTGGGGACAGGCTTAGCATTTTTATGTGCAGCAGGCACTGGCCTAGGAAGAATGGCTGTGGGTATAGTGGGTGGGATGTCCATGGGTGGCTGTTTTGCTGGGGAGGGTGGGAATGATTCCAAGTCAGATAGTGGTGTCAAGGCCCATGGTGGTGATGATGTGGAAGGTGTAGCCTGCGAAGGGAACCTGGGTGGAGTTAGTACTGGTGCATGTGATGATGGGTGTTCTGCCACTGGTCCTGAGGGCAGAGAAGTAACAGTACTGTGCACAACATTGTTTGTTGCCAATGTTGACATACCACCTTGTTTATGAGTGGCACGTTTCACTCACATTTTCGCAAGGTCAGAATCAGTGTGATCTGAGGTGGTTGTCATGGCCTTGACTGCATGTTTCCCAAAAACCTGTCTGTAATTCTTGTTAGTAGATATTTATGAGGAACTAGACTCATTGATCCATGCTAGCGTGTCTACTGCCCATGGGTCCTTGGGGTCATTGAGTGTTTTGATGATAGCAAAAAAGAATTTTTCTAGATTGAATGACCCAATGCACATTTTGTATGAGTTACAGGCAGAGAGGGAAAACCACACCTGTATGAAAATCAGTATACTACCAGTCAATAAAATAAAAGTAAACATGCACCGCACACATGGCCCAGGCCCACACTTGTGGTGTCACCTTTGTAAGTCCATACACGGTAGCCTTGGACTTGCTTCTGCCATGCTTGCCATTGTCATCATTGTGTTCCTGTGATCCTGCAGCAGCAGGTCCTAGGTACAAGTGCTGGAATGCCTAGGAAAACTGTGAGCACACGAACAGCAACAATGCACTACATACCCTGATACCAGCATGCCTGTGAAAGAGGCCAATGTTCGGGTCCTCACTATCATAGGTGGCCTCAGCAGCATATAGGAAGGATGGCCAATTTGTAGAGAGTAGAGGCCAAGTCCCATCCTTGTTACGGCGAACCATAGGTCGACTAGGATGGGTGCGGCGATAGGTACTCGATAAGAGTATGCCTAAAGCCGGATTGTGTCCTTACAAACGTAAGGTTCTTAAGACAAGTTAGAGAGAGTGTCTCTAACTTGAATATTGGTTATCAGACGACTTAAGATTGGGGGTCTTAAGCGAAGGATAGTTCAGGTTGAACCTAGTAGATTAAAGTGAAGTCTACCTAAGTACAAGACCTAGTTTATATAGCAGTAATCTGCTCTAGGGCAGGTACGTATTCGTCATTGAGTCGAGTCATAGATAAGGATCGAGTCAGAGATAAGGGATGAGTCAGCTAGCGACGGCACGTGGCGATCGTGCTGTAATACAGATATAGGCAGGCGCTGGTCTAATGATGGCACATCCTGGTGCGGTCATGACGTAATACACATGAGTACGGAAAAAGAGATAGGGGGTAACCACTATTGTAACATTACCCCTCGTTTAGCGATGAAGTCGCCGACTTCACATATCCTGGTTAGCCCAGTAGATGGGATCCGTGTCATAGTTGGAATTAAGAAGGTCGTCTTGTTCTTCCGTGATGGTAGGTTGCGCCAGATGCTCAGCATGAGCGATGGCGTCTTGCTCGATCTCCCAGCGAGCGAGTGCGTCGTAGAAACCGATGTCAGTCCATACCAAAGGAATAACCGCTTCTCCTTTTAGCTCTCTACAAAAGACCGACAGATGACCCGGCGCGTACTCTTTGCAGACTCTGCAGTAATACGCTGGGCAGTTCTTATGACGGTGGCCAGCAACGTGGCAGTTACGACATACGACATTATCGACTGGCGATGTTTTCACAACTGTGACGGGTGAAGACTGGTTTGGGGGGGAAGGTGACCGTGATCACTTGAGTGGTGCTTTAGTGGGGGAGACGGAGGCGGCTCGTTTGGCGGCGAGGTGGGAGGATCTTCGCTTGAGCGGAAGTCGTCGTGTGGTACGTATGATTGGGTCAGGAGAAGGAGAAGTCGGTACATCAAGTACGGCAATAGGAGGGATAAGATCATCCTGATGTTCCACGGTAGTTGCGACGTGAGTTGGTGGAGGTACAGGGACGGCGACGTGGGGGGAAGGTGGTCGTGCGACAGGGTTAAGAGCGATTCACTCAGTGATGATGTGAATGGCTTCTCTGATAGCGTCTCTTGTTTCTTCCGGTAAGAGTCGGATTGCGGTATTGCGAATGCAGATGTGAAGATGACGGAAGATAGTCTGGTGACGCTCATCATCAAGGAGTGCGGCGGTGCAATCAATGAGGCTGGCATCTCTGATAATCCTAATTATCAGACCGCTGGAGATTGCTCCTCTTTCTCCGAGGAGACGATCTATCTCAATAGCGTATTGCTGTGAGGTGATGGTGGATTCGAACAAGGCACTGGTTTCGACTTGATCAATGACAGAGAAGTAGTCTGTGAGGGTGGAATCGTCGGTAAGAGTGAGGGTAGAGTCCGAAGTAGGTGGTGATGTTTCAGAGGGGGATGCGTGCTGTGCGAGGTTGGCGGCGGTGGTGGTCTGGTAATCTAGGAGCGTTAGGGGGTGGGCATTTCCTTCAGCGACAGTGTTCATGGCAGCGGTGAGTTCTTCGATACGAAGGATGCAAAGGCGTAGTCGTTCGATGTGGGACATTGCTGGGAGGTTTACAGTCCATGGGCCTTCTTATAGGCGATAAGGACATTGGAAGTGTTCCCGAGATTCTCCTCAGGAACCCACTCATTACTGGCGGATGAATATCCTTTCCACGATAAGAGATAGCGTCTTCGTTTACCCGTTCCTTTATGCGATAAGATCGCATCAATTTCATATTCTTCTTCGTTATCGATGACATCAGGGGGTGGGTCGTGGAAGTTCGGTCTGTGTACTTCTGTCTCGTGATAGGACGATAGTTCGGAAGCATGGAACGTGGGGTGAACCTTCCACTGGGGTGGTAGCTGGAGTGTGAACGTGATGGGAGACAGGACGGCGGTGATTGGGAATGGACCATATCGTTTAGGGGCAAGCTTTCGCAAAGGTAATTGCGTGATCAGGTTCTTTCCGGATAACCAGACTTTGTCTCCAATCTTCCAAGGGTGGTACTTCTGTCCGTGAGTTCTTTCTGCCATACGCTGCATCGCAAGGGCGTGGCAAGAGAGTGCTTCTTCTCTAGACTTCTGGAGTGAACGAAGTCTGTCTGCTGCTGCGGGGACTGTGGAATCGGATAAGGTATGTGGAAGGGCTCTTGGTTCGTACCCCATCATAAGGAAAAAAGGGGATGCATTGCGAGAATCATGTTTTCAATGGTTGTGAACGAATTCTGCCATGGGGAGGTGTTCTACCCAGTTTTCGGGATGATTCCGACAATATATTCGAAGGTATGTTTCCAATTCCTGGTTGAGTCGTTTGGTCTGTCCGTCGGTCTGGGGGTGATAGGCGGTTGACGCTGCTATGTCGTACTTCAGAAGCTTGGCGAGAGCTTGAGAGAATTTGGATACGAATTGTGGACCACGATCAGAAATAACCTTTTCGTGCAGGCCGAATCGCCGATAGACGTATTTGAAGAATTTATTGGCGACTCCTTCGGAAGTTATGGTTTTGGTACATGGGATAAGAATTACCCCCTTCGTAAGCCCATGGTCGACCACGACCATGACAGAATCAAAACCCGTACAGGGGGGAAGGTCAGTGATAAGATCGACCGAGATCTGAGTGAACGGTGCTGCGGCAACGGAAGGGATGGGGACAAGGGGGGGGGTCGTCGGATGAGTGTCGGATTTCATTTGCTGACAGAGAGCACATCCCTCAATGTATTTGCGAATATAGGTGCCCATAGCAGGCCACCAGAAATCACGCTTAACCAATTCCTCTGTTTTGAAACGGCCAGGGTGGCCGGCAGTGGGATGGTCATGACATCGTTCCAATATAAGGCGCCGTCCGGCAGGGCGGACGTAGGCACGGTCCTTGTAATAAAGGATATCGTCTTTGATTTTCCAGTCTGAGAGGGCGGATTTCATGGGGGGAAGCGACAGACCATCCAATGCATCGGAAGCAGCAGAGAAAATGGGGTCGGGGTCGGAGGGGTCAGGATTTACGAGTGTGGTCATGAGTTCAGTATCGAGGAGGCGAACGAACATGGAGTCTGGTAAGAGTGTTTCATTGGCGTTATCATCGGGGGAATCTGCCCCATGATCAGGGCGATGTGAAAGGGCATCAGGAGCAACAAGCTTTGTTCCGGCAACGTGATGAAGTTCGATATCGTAACATGACAGTATTAACTGCCATCGGGCTTGTCGATGGGTTAATTTCTGTGCGGTTCTGAAATACAAGAGGTTCTTGTGGTCGGTGAATATGATGATAGGGTGAGGATTCCCTTCCAGATAATGACGCCATTCTGTTAATGCACGAATAACCACAAGGAGTTCGCGATCAAAGATTTGATAGTTTCGTTCTGCAGGGTTCAATGTCTGGGACAGGTATGCACATGGGTGATAGACGCCATTATCATCAGTCTGGAGCAGGACCGCTCCAGTGGCGATGAGAGATGCATCAGTGGCAACAGCAAACTGTCTAGAGGGATCTGGGTTCCAAAGGACTGGCTGCTTCATAAAGCAGTCTTTTAGTTCGGCAAAGGCGGATGTGCATCGTTCCATCCAAAGGAACTTGACATCTTTCTTGGTGAGATCAATCAATGGTCTGGCGATGTCGGAATAGTGGGAAATGAAGTTTCGGTAGAAATTGCAGAAACCTAAGAACGACCGAACTTCTTTTACGGTGGTAGGTGTAGGCCATTCCTGAATACCAGTGGTTTTAGCATCGTCCATTGCTACGCATCCAGGGCAGATAATCATTCCAAGGTACTCCACTTCTTGAGCATCGAAGGTACATTTTTCCAGTTTAAGGAAAAGTCTTTCTTGCCGAATTCTTTCAAGGACGCGCTGGGTACGTTCGTGATGGGAGGTGAGGTCGTTAGAAAATATCAGGATGTCGTCCATATATATAACGAGCCATCCTTCGTTAACCTCCTGCTGGAACGTTTTATTCATGTATGCCTGGAAGGTAGCCGGGGAATTGCAAAGACCGAAGAACATAACATTTGGTTCAAAGAGCCCGTATTCTGTGGTAAAAGCAGCTTTCCATCAGTCATCTGGGTGAATACGGATATTGTTGTATCCAGACCGAACATCCATTTTCGTAAAATATCTAGCACCATGTAACCGGGCGACCAGAGAAAGCGGTAATGGGAGTGGGTAGGCGTTCTTGACGGTCCATTCGTTGATATACCGGTAGTCTTGGCAAGGACGAAGATCTCCACTTTTCTTCCCTACGAAAAAGAAACCGCTAGCCTGCGGCGACTTTGATTCGGAGATAAATCCCTTTTGAACATTTTCATCAATGAATGTCTTGACTGCCGCCCGTTCTTTCTCAGATAGCGGATATACTTTGGATGTTTTGGGAATAAACCCAGGCTTGGTGTCTATTCGGTGATCTATTCCAGGTCGCTCCAGTGGTAACTGGTTCAGGCCATCTTTTGCGAAAATATCGGCAAAGTCGTGAAGGTAAGAGGGGACAAGTTCTTCAAATGACTTCTTCTTCTGTTCAAGTCCAGCAGCTAATGCAAATTGCTGGGCTTTGTTACTAGTCTTGATATATTCGGTGGGTCGTGGTAGGGGTATGATCTTGGATTGTCGTTGTTCCAAGGTACTAGTCCCGTCTTTCGTTAATGGGGTGTCTAACGAGACGTTGGTGATTACCCGAAGCTCAGTGGCGTTGGCAGGGTACTCGACTAAAAACTCATCATCTTCTAGATGATAGGTAGAGACTTCTCGCACAGGCGGTGCGTAGTTAGTCGTCCATACGTCGTCCTTTGTGTCAAAAGAGTCATCTTCATCATCAGGTATGGGGTCCAGATCAGGCAGCGCTGATGGGACTGCTTCTTCATTGATTATCTCTTCGATTATGGCGCGTGGTAATTCTTCGGCCATCTTCCTGGGAGGCACCTTAGGCAGCACTACAACCGGGATCGGTTCCTTTCCTTCTACCTTTTTACGGAAGAGGGGAGGCAAACTATTCTTCTTTCGTTCTCTATCGACTTCTTCTTCAATTTGGTCGCTCTTTTCTGTCCTGGAGAGTTCCAGTGTTTCTGCTTTCCATCGGATTACCGGGTCCATAGCGCGTAGCCAGGGGATTCCCAATAAAATCTGATCACGTCGGCTAAGCCGTGTGATGTTAAACTTTCCGATCATAGATTGATTGTCTATCTTGACGATGAGGACGCAATATCTGGTAATAGCGCCTCCTTTTGCATAACTTCCATCCGCAGTAGTGACTCGGAATGGTTTCGAGAGTTTATGCGTTCGAATCCCATGAGTCTTGACGAACTCTTCAGAAATGAAGGTTCCGGCAGCGCCGGAGTCTACAACAGCTGTTGTTTCGACGGTTTTCAGACGAGTTTTGGAGATGAGGGAAATGGGAACGCGAAGTTCCTTTCTTGTTCCAATACTCTGTATAAGTCTGATGTTTACATCGGAAGATACTGACATCGATCCAGTCTTCCATACTAAAAATCCTCGGCGAGACGTCGGACCATTGTATCCTCATCGTCTGGGTCACTATCGTTCATCTCTCGAACTGGGATTTTCTTCTTCTGTGGGCATGCTCTGGTGAGATGGCCTTTCTGGTGACAGGTGAAGCATAGTCCTTTCTTCATATGGTCACTTCTTTCAGCTTCAGTGAGCCGGTCTACCTCCATGGCGTTTGGGTCGTGTTGGTCAACGGAAGGTCTAGGTACATAGCACTGCCCAGAGGGTTTGGTGGTGATTCAATGGTTGGATCTGAATGCGACACCCCTCTGGTAGTTGCTATCGAGTCTGACGACTGCGGCGATGTACTTGTCGAAATCTGTAGGGATGGTTTCCATCTGGTAGACGGAATTAACGATTCCCTTCTTCAATCCGTCATTGAGGAACGTGATTAGGACGGCATCTTGCTTAACACTGGCTTGTGCGGCGAGGGTCTTGAAGCTAGCGATGTAGGATGTGATGTCGCCTGTCTGTTTCAACGTCCTAAGTTTGTTCATGGCGGTACCGACAGCATCGGCGGGTACGAAGGCTTCTTTGAATTTGGTTTCAAAATTCGCGAAGGTCCCATAGGATTTGGCGGCGGAGTTGTCAACTTCTGTGTAGAAGGTGAGTGCCCAACCCATAGCACTGTCTTCCGTCATATATGCGAGAGCGGTAATAACCTTCTTCTCGTTGGTGTTATAGATTGTAGCGTTAAGCGCGAAGTACGCTTTTATCGCATACAACCAACGTAGTGCCTGCTGAGGGCTCCCATCGTAAGTGGACGGGGCTCCGGCTTTCAATTCTGGGGTGTTGGTGACGGTGGACATCCTGAGCGTCTGGTCGAGTGATGTCTTCGGTTCAGGGGAACGTTATTCGTTCTCTCGCTGAGTTCTTTCTAGGTTCTGTATAACCTCTCTGATTGAGAGGGTCGGTGGTGGTGGACTTTAATCTTTTGTTACGGCGAACCGTAGGTCGACTAGGATGGGCGCGGCGATAGGTACTCGATAAGAGTACGCCTAAAGCCGGATTGTGTCCTTACAAACGTAAGGTTCTTAAGACAAGTTAGAGAGAGTGTCTCTAACTTGAATATTGGTTATCAGACGACTTAAGATTGGGGGTCTTAAGCGAAGGATAGTTCAGGTTGAACCTAGTAGATTAAAGTGAAGTCTACCTAAGTACAAGACCTAGTTTATATAGCAGTAATCTGCTCTAGGGCAGGTACGTATTCGTCATTGAGTCGAGTCATAGATAAGGACCGAGTCAGAGATAAGGGATGAGTCAGCTAGCGACGGCACGTGGCGATCGTGCTGTAATACAGATATAGGCAGGCGCTGGTCTAATGATGGCACATCCTGGTGCGGTCATGACGTAATACACATGAGTACGGAAAAAGAGATAGGGGGTAACCACTATTGTAACAATCCTGAAGATGCTCCATCCCTCTGAAGGTAGAGTATGTGAATTATGCAAATGTTGATTTTAGAGTCAAAACACTCACAAGTTGGCACCTTCATCAAACACCTCTAGCCACTTTCAAGGGCAAAGTTCCCACGCTAGCCAGGGGTGATTCAGACCACGATTTGACTTGCAAGAAGACTTCAGGATGGGAGGCTGGAGCGTGTTGGTGGTACAGTCAGCAAGAATATACTCGAGCACTGAGTGCTTCAGGGATGAGAGATCATCTAAGTGTTGCGAGCTCATTAAACTGTTAATCTACGTGTTTGTAGTTATTTAGGTGCATATATGCGCATACATGCATGGACTCACCACTGTGAGATAAGGTTTCAGCTCATCATAGGACAGCTCATTGAGATTTTCATGGAAGCCAGGAACAAAGTCTAGAATGCCATTATAGAACATGAGAAATTGTGCCTGTTGCTCCTCAGATCTGGCAAACAAATCAGTTTAAGTTCCAAGGTGTAAGGTGACTTACATATTTGAACTGGATGTTGAACCACCCTTGTCAAGAGTCATACTGTAATGAAATGCAGGCGACACATTTGCAAATGGATTTAAGGTGGCAACTGCCTTGCACCCAGCAGTGCAATATTCTGATAACACATCACTCAACCTCAAGTTGTGTGATAGGCATAGGGTGAGCCCATGACCATGCTTGAATACTATGAAACTTACCTGGTCTTCTTCCATCTGCCAGTGGCAGTCATATTATTGAGGATATCATCTGTTGAAGCGCGTTTTTTGGAGCTGGAGGTTGACAATGACACGTTAGAGTTTGATGAAGATGTGTGTTTCTTGGATCTGGAGGTTGATAACGACATGTTAGAATCTGATACAGACACACATTTTTTGGAGTTGTATGTTGACAATGATGCGTCAGAGTCAGATGAAGACATGGTAGGGTGAGGTAAAGGGCTCAGGGGAAAATTAGGGGATTGTTATCACACATGTTGGAATTCAAAAACATTGATGGCTGGAGTTTCAAGATCATCAGACAACTGTGACAAGCAGATACACTTTGAATATAGTAGTACACAACAATAATCAGCAAAAGAGCATTGTAAAATAGTGGTACAGTGCAAGAAGAAAGAGGTACTCAGGCAACAGCAAATGATAGTTGAGACAAACAACTGCAAAAGGTATTCTGTTATGAGCAACTGTGTGAAAAACGAGCAAAAGTGATGGTGCAAAATCATAATTTACAACACTTGGATGGATAGTCCTTGATATCTTCATGCAGTGCCTTCCTTTTAGCAGCCTGCAATGGAATGTTTGACTGATCAAATGACCATACCAAGTAGTGCCACAGTGCAAATGGGTTGGTTGGTCTTGCATTTGGATTGCTGCAGCATCAAGTGAGTAGGTTGCATGGAGACACGTTCCTTTGAAAATCTGTTAGTCAGAATCTGAGTACAGCCTGGGTAATTAGATGGAAGGTTGCATACACAGAATTTATGGAACCCTCATTGTCTTCCTCAAACTTTACACAAGTCTCGACTAAGTCAGGTTCTGTCTTGATGTTACAAAGTCTCAAGTGTGCTCAATATCTTATTAGTGCTAGCTTCAAAGTGAATAATTAGCACACTGTATTGAATGAATGAACTCACATATGGCTGGAGTCAGATGAGCCCTCTTGAATGGCCTTTCCAATATCTTTGAACTGGAAAATCACTTGCTGAATAGACAAAATCACAATGGGTTTAGTAGTAATTGTAAATAAAACAATTATTTCATACCTTGGAGCCAGGAGTGACTATATTTAGGCCAAGACAATAGGTATCCCACATAGAGGCAACACCATTGATCTCAATGAGTATGTTGATGGTAGATGTTGAAGGCATTGAGGATAATAAATAGTAGCATAAGAGTACAATTAATAGTGTTGGTATAAGAGATAGGCAAAGATTGACATGTTATTGAGACATTGTGTATTTTGGAAAGTGCTGACTGACTTTGAAAGTCACATGACTTTCGAAATGGACAGTTCAAACTTTTCACTTTAATCTTCAGTTGGTACCATCAATATAGGGCATATCTACCCTACATAGATTGTTGCATGAATATCATTGTTTCTTGTGTTGAGCTGACACCCATGTAACTTGACCCTTATTGCAAATATCATCTCCATCATGAGGTTCAGCACTCACTCCATATTCGTCTTTCAAGAGTTTGATTACCAAATCTACCTATTTATCTATGGCAGTGCAGTGATGATTCTACACCCAAGACTCTTCAAATCCGGTTATTGATGAACTACAAAAGATACTGACTCTTCACATCCAGTTATGGATGAACTACCAGAGATATTGAGTATATATGTTGAGCATCGCCCTCCCATTCAAGCGAGTTGCTCTACAATTGCGCTCTACAACACATTTCACGATCCTCCTTCAGCTCACAAGGGCAGTTACTTTCTTCAAACATAGTCTATTGGCTTCAGTCATGATCCACAGAGGCTTGGTCAAGCACGTCAGCCAGAGGGAGAGAATGGCAATATTGGACCTATAGCAGGAGCAAAGGACACACCACCATATGGTGCACAGCACTGCCAGGATGCTCTTTGGGAGCGTAGAGTTTTGCAGGCAGGTTTTTTGGATCAGGTGGCAGGTATAAAATGTGTCCTTTGTTCCAACCCCTCGTCTCACCATTACATGTTCACAGTGACTCAGGTGGATATGCACTGGCAATGCTGGCAAAGTACATCATCCTCTCACTCCTCAGCTTCATCCTTGTTATGTCATTTGCATGTCCTGCATGCAATTATACTGCTGTGTCAGCACATGGTCTGTCAATGCACCAGAACCAATGGTGCAAAGGCCTCAGAGTTGTTTCAAATAATGTCATGAATGCCCGCTGTGAGTGCCAAGCTCTGCAGCCTCCTCCTGCACTGCATGCTCAGTCAGAAGCTCCCTTACTCGATGAGCCCTCACTGGGCAAGGCAAACCAGCCAGAGTTTGAGAATCCTGAGCCATATGTAAGTGAATGTTTCTTTTGTCAGAGTGATACAGGGTATTCATGCTGCTGTCTAGGAATTGCCAGTACATCATTCACCCTCGCCCCCACCACTGGCACAAGCATCAGGTCTTCTGAATCGCAGGTGGCAACTACCTTCACATTACTGAGATGAACTTCCACCCATTCCCATTCCCATTCTGATTCCACCTCCAGTAGATGATGTAGCCCATGATGTTCCACAATCTCCTGTTCATTCTGACTCAGGTACTGCCAAATTAGAAGGAGAAGTGTGGGTACACACTGAACAGGATACTTTTGGCACCTTCTGTTCATACCAAGGAACTTTCCCTTCCTATGACCCCAAGAACACTTCATTGTTCGATGATGTATGTGACTCTCATACTTTCCAACAGGCTGACGGTTCAAACAAGCAGCCCTGGTATGCAGGCTTTGGTACTGCTATTGAAGCAGTCAATTGCATGTTTTTTGCACCTTTCTCAATGCTACCACATTTCATCTCATGAACTGGTTTTATGAGTCATCTAGTGGTAACTCCCTGGCTAATGTTGACTGCCTTGTGCAGGGGGTCATATTGGCAGATGACTTTGAGTGTGAGGACCTCAGGGGTTTTTCTGTGTTTTGGGAGGCAAAAAGAATGGACCAGGCTGACGAGGACCCAGATTCAAAGCTGTTTAGCACCTCTGACAAGTGGCATGAGGCATCTGTCAATATCAAGCTGCCTGCTGAGAAGCACAGGTATGCATCTGAAGCTGACACACCTGACTGTGCTGTGGATGGACTCTATTACTGGAAGCCCCTAGAGGTTATCAGGTCAGCCTACGAGGAAGTCACTTCAAAATCTTTTCATAATGTCCCATACAAACTCTTCTGGCAGCCCAACAAGGGTGAATTTCTGGAACATATCATTATGGAGGTCTACACGGCCAATGCTATGCTTGATGAGCATGAGAAGATAAAGGCACAGCCCCATGAGCCTGGTTGTCAGCTGGAGACCGTTGTCACTTTAATCATGCTTTGGTCAGACTCAATGCACCTTGCTTCATTTGGACATGCTGTGCTATGGCCAATCTACATGTTCATCAGAAATCAGTCAAAGTATACCAGGAATTGTCCCTCTGCATTCACTGCCCATCACCTGGCATATATCCCAAAGGTTTGCATGTTTCATGATTGAGTTTGCAAAGTTTGCTGACTTGCCTTCGAGTTACCAGACATTGTCCATGAATATTACCATAAATTGTATGGGCAAGCAGTGATGAGTGCAGTGCTCACACATCTCAAGCGAGAGCTTATGCAAGCCATTTGGCTGTTTCTCCTTGATGAAAAATTCATGCACGCATATGAACATGGTATTGTTGTCCGATTTGTGGACAACATATATCATAGAGTATTTCCATGTTTTTTTACCTATGCAGCAGATTACCTGGAAAAGTAAGTATCTATGACTCTCCTTCTGTAAAACAGCTCATTCAAATTTCAGGATTCTCCTTGTGTGTATCAAGTTCCTTGGTAAATTTCCATGTCCCCAATGCCTCATCCCAAAGGACAAGATTGATCAGATGGGATCAAAACTGGATAGACTGCAATGCACACAAGATGCATGCATGGATAACCATGCTCACTGGAGCATGATTGAGATGGTCCGAGATTGGATTTTCACAAAGGGCCATAACATTGCAAGCTCAGTGATTGACAAGGTACTTGGACCAACTTCTCTTGTTCTAATGCATGTAAGTTCTACTATTTATTGTGCAATAAAAGTCCCTTATGCCTCCTTTGAAGAATGCTTTCTCAGAGCGCTTGTCCTGCTTCAGGTTTGACTTTCACTCAATGTTTGTACCCAATTTTATGCATGAATTTGAACTGGGAGTCTGGAAGGGTACTCTTACACATTTGCTGCATATCATGCATGCTTTTGGTGGGGATGTGATTCAACAATTTGATGCAAGGTGAGGTTTGAGTTTGTTTTATTGCTTTCTAGACTAACAAACTCAAAGATATTGCAATGTTCTGAGTTTTGGCAGGGATATGATACGCAAATTCAATCGCAACATTTTGAACCTCACAAAACTTGCTGCAAGAGACTTTGAGGATATCTTACAGGTGTGTACATGTTTTGAGGTCTGACACCTTGTCTGATGTGACACAGTGTGCTATCCCTGTATTCAAAGGGCTACTGCCTAAGGAGCATGACGAGGTCATATTGGATCTACTTTTCAAACTAGCAATGTGGCATGCCCTAGGAAAACTCAGACTTCATACTGAAACCACACTGCATTTCCTTGACAACTCAACCACTAGACTTGGGTGAGCTTTACATTGGTTCAAAGACATTACATGTGATGCCTTCACTACTCAGGAGCTGCCAAAGGAAGTGGCTGCATGTGGGCATTGCAAACCTGCATACTTGAAGAAGGGCAAATCAAAAGCACTGCCAAAGAAGACATCTTTGGATGGCCCTCACACATGCCTTTTCAACATGTCGACATATAAACTTCACGCACTTGGGGATTATGTCGAGTCCATTTGGTTATTTGGAACAACAGACAACTTCTCTACACAAGTGGTGAGCTTGCTCCATGATTTATGTTATTGTGTCTTAAAGCAAACATCAGGGCAAATTGGAACACCATCAAGTCAAGCAATTTTATGTGTGTACCAATAAAATCAAGTTTGTGTGAGGTATTGCAAAGCAACAGCACTGTGAATGACTTCTATACAAACTTTGACAAAAAGCTCAGGGTGCCGCACAACAGGTTAGTGAGCACCTGGACACTAGGGATACAGATTCACGTCCAACAGTTGATTTCTCTGAACAAGAAGTGTTACTGCAGTGTTCCCTGGAGTCCCAGTACCAAATTTTGAATTCATGTCACCTCCACTTGGACATTACAGCTTGGCTCCATAAGAACCATGAGGACCTTGCAGTCAAGGCATGTTCTCACCTGTTCTCACTTATTTTTCCTAATTTTTGTGACTTAGGACTTTTTACTGCACCTCAAAGATCGTATTCTTACTCAGCTGCTTGGTCAAGATGATGACAGCAAGCAAGCATTCACACCTGCACAGTGTAATTCACTTATTATTGTCAACAACAAGATATACAGGCACAAGGTGCTTTGCAGTCAATTATACAACATATGACCTTCGTCAGGCCCAGGACTCACTCAACCCCCATGCACATGCAGATATCATGGTCCTTGCGAATGAGGAGAGCCAGCCTGGTGAGCTTGCACCACATCCCTACTGGTATGCATGTATTGTGGGGATTTTTCACATCTATGTGAGATATCTTGGTGCTCAGTCTCGCAGTTGAACATCACAGTGCATTGATTTTCTTTGGGTGCATTGGTTTTGCTAAGATTCAAACCATAACTCTGGTTGGGCAGCATGATGGCTGCATCAGATTGGCTTCTTTGATGCACACGAAGTAGGTGCAGAAGCATTTGGGTTCATTGACCCACAGCATGTCATATGGGCTGTCCACCTCATCCCAGCACACAACAATCATTACACATACTCTCTGCTTCCTCCATCAATCAGCCTAACAGCCACACGACCTCAATGCAGACTTTAGTTGGTATTATGTCAATCAGTGTGTATTTTTCTTTAAAACACACTCTTGTGCTCACCACAATTTAGATTCATTGATTATGATATGTTTATGTAGTTCCATGGTGGTGGTGTTGGACACAAAACCACATGAGAGGTGACACAAAGTTTCTATGAGGACTGAGATGCACTTGACTCAGTGCCATTCACAAAGGAAAGTGAATGCACCAGTATGTTTTACATACCAGGTTTGCTGATGAATGAGGTCATTGACTCAGAGTCTGGCAATGATTGTGGAGATACACCTGGCAGATGCAGACATGTGCAGCATCAGCAATTCCAGTGAGGAGCATATGGATTGTACAGGAAGCTGGTCTGAGTTAGATGATGAGCTTGAAGAAGCAGAGAATGAGTCACAGAGTGCTACTTATGAGTTTGACACAGATTTGATTGATGGAGACAAGGAATTAGATGAAGAGGCTGATGATAACAAGGATGGTTCAGTGTTGGATGACGAGCACAGTGAGTTTGGTTATGGTGACCTAGAGGAGCAGTTGTTATTGGATGACAGCTCAGAAGAGGAAGGCTTACAGGATGAACTAGATGATGCCATTCTTGGTGCTGAGGATGGAGAGGGTGCTGTGGATACTGAAGAGGATTATAGTGACTATGCTAAGTGACTAGAATGCATTGGACAGACCTGTCTTTCAGCCATGTAAGAGAAAAACATATTGTATTACTTGTCTTGATGGTTTTTGTATCTATACATGTGCAAGTGACACATGGTTATAACAGTACTTTGGCATCTGCGAGCCTTGCAATGCCTGGTGTGATGCCTGTAAGGCCTGTAGCCACATTTGGAACTCTACCCCAGACTTGTGGCATCTGCCAAGGCCTTGTCAGCTTGCACCACTTTTGCTGATGTTAACATCCATGTCAGGCTGAATGTTGTGTCAATGAATGGGTTGACGGCGAGTGGATAGATATTAGTTTTTTGTGTGGTGAGTATAAGGAGGCATATGACAAGCACCTTGCTAACCTCAAGAAATTCAATGCGCGAATGAAGGACCATGCATACTTAATGGTATCCTAAAGGAGATTAATGATAATGGCAAGATAAGTGTCTTTCAAATATTGAAATCTCACAGATTCACTAACAACAGTACAGAATCCATGCAAAAGTAGATGTGGCTGATGTTGGAGAAAGAGACTGTCTCTTGGATGATGAGATTCACAATGCCATTCATGAATACCAGCAGGGGAGTGGTGTGAATGAGACCAATGATGAGGACTCGGATGAGGATGGTAATCAATCTGAGCACAACAGATACGAAGACAAGTAGAATAATAATGAATCATGAATGCTTATCATTGTTCTCATTGGTTTGAGTGGTATGAACTATGTTGGCTTACTATTGGAGGCTATGTGGCACTACATAGCAGGGCTATATAGCTGATGTATGAGATACTGGATACAATGTAGCGCAAATAATGATATAGCCTGAGGTATATAGTGCTATGTAGAGGGGGGACCTGCAATGAGGCTATGAGCAGTATGTAGCCTATGTAGCGCTATGTTGCACTTCAATTTTTTCCTGATGTGGCTGGCTGGTTTCAGTGTTGTACATCTGATGAATGAGCCCTCTTTGGAGCTCATGCCTCTGCTGGCCTCAAATTTGCTGACCCTATTACAGGCTGCAAGTGTGTTGATCCTTTGCTGATCTTGAGGCTTGCTGACTGACAAACATCCCTAATCCTTGGCAGAGAGTGAGTGTGCTAATTCATGGTAAAGCTTGGGCCATGCTGACTAAAGACATTGCTGAACTAATGGCAGACTGCACTTAAGTGTGCTGATCCTGTGCCAGCCTTGATCTGTGCTGACCACAAAAATTACTGACCTGTTTATAGTTCACGAGTACCATGCTCTATTGAGGTCAAGTCATACTGATTGAAGAAATGGCTGATCTATTGATAGGATGTGAGTGTTATGATCATATCTGTTGGATTTCAGCCAACCAGAAAATTCACTGATTGCAACAGGTTGTGAGCATGTTGATTCTCTAGAGCCATGCTGACCATACAAATTCCTGATCTGATGACAGTCCATGAGTTTGTAGATCCTCCTTTGAGTTTGGCCCCTGTTGATGGAGAATGCACTGAATATTGTAATAGGCTGTGAGTGTGTTGATTCTCAAATCATGCAAACCAAACTTGTAAGTTTTGTTGATTCAATGATAGGACATGAGTATCTCAATTTTCTGTACAGCCTACCATGCTGATCAAATAATTGTTTCTTCCAATGAGTGTCTCAATTGAGTTCTGGTGACCTAAGACTGTATTGATTTAGTAAGAAGAGGTGACAGCTCATGGGCTGGAGAAATAAAATGGGAGAATAGAATAAGAATTGAGTGGGGCTAATGCAGTGTGTGAACTTGGTGAGCACCCAACTTACTGATCTAGATTCACTGTGCAATCATGGCACAATGTTGCCATGAGGCTTACATGAGGACTCATGATAGCTCACCTTGAAAATGCAGAAGTAATAGCAATCCTGTGTTCAACAGAGTTTGATGGATCATTCCAAGGAAGATAAGGTAAGAGGCTTATGACACTGTTTGAATGTTTTAACTTCATACTATACACATACTAACCCCTAATAGCAGTCAAACCTTCAGGCGATGGGGCATGGCGGATAGTGGTAAGTAGGTGACCATCTGATAAAAGGATAATTTGTGAAAGCTGGTGCTGCAATAAGGTGCAACTAGTTACAAACTAGGATAGTTCTAATGACAGATGACTCAATAAGAGTCAGGACCTCTGCCGAGATTCTACACAAGACGATAAGTCAAGCATTCAGTGTAAGCTAAGTCAGAAGGAGTGCTCCTAACTTAAAGTACAATTCAGATGACAAGAGATTGGAGGTCTCAAGCAAAGGATATTCCAGGTAAAACCTAGTAAGATTAAAGTAAAGAACTAAAGCATACAAGAGGACTATTTATAGTGAGCTACAAGTGCTTTAGGGCAGATGTGAGAATGTATGTGAGTCAGAGATAAGGGATATGTAAGTGATAGCAAGAATAGGTCATCTAGTGATGGTAATGGCAATCGTGATGTAATACAAAGTATGAGTCAAAGATAAGTCTAGCAGCAGCATCATGCAGCTCATGACGTAATACACAGTAAGAGAGAAAATGAGTAGGGGCATACATGGTTGTAACAGCAACAGCTTCAGTGGTAGCACATGAAATCTGCTGCCCATGATGAATTCAAAATCTGTTGGCACCCAGTACTCAAGCTCAGTTTTGAGGGCTTTGTGGTCACCTACAAGAAGGAGTGGAAGGGATAGCAGTAGCAGGGATAATGATTGTTAGGGGAGGGATAGGAGGGATTATGGCCATGCCCCTAGGAGAGAAAGTCATTGCAATATGCAATGAGAATGTGACCATGATGATTGAGATGACAGAGACTGAGATGGCTGGAGGAGAGATGATAGTAGAAAGGACAGGGGCAGGGACTGAGACCTTGATGTTGATGAATGTCATGACAGAGTCTGGGACTATGATGACCGTTGTAGAGAATGAGATTCCTCTAGGCATAGATCATGCATATTTTGACTCATGACAATTGGTATAGCACATGACTCACTCCCTATGACTTTCCTGCACTATGCAATGCATTCCTGTGCACATGCTTAGCATGTTCTTCCTGTGCTTGGTCACACTTTGTCATGCAGCATCCTGGAGCATCCATCCATCATCCAACCAGTCCCCTAGTGAGTCCCTTTTCATTTATTTCTCATATCAGACCATTTCTGGTATCATACAATTTCTTATTTTGTCATGGACCTGTCATATCCCATATGCCAGACATAGATCCCATCATATTCCCACGCTTTCCAGACCTATTTCCGGACCCCATATCCAACTCATTCCTGGATCCCCTATCCTGTCCACCCTATGCACATTCCATCCAGCAAGACATCTGGACTTTACCTCCTCTTGGATTCTGGACTACATCCACCACCTCACATATCTCAGTCCTGTTTCCACCCTGCCTTCCGGATCCCCAGATCTCTGGACCTCTGGATATTAACTGTTACTATCTCCGGACCTATTCCCACCCTCCACCTGAGATCCTGCACCTATCCCCATTTAGGCATCTCTGCCTTTCCGGTTCTCGGTTATCTCTGTTTCCATCTTGCTGATTGATCCTTGTACGAGTCTTCATCTCCGAGTTCATTTAGTTACGTTCTGTCTTACTTACTAATGTGTTTCCACATGCTCGTACATAGCCTTACTCTGTTGCTTACTGATCCCCTCAGATATTCTCCAGTATATAACCCCTGTAGATACTCCTGTAGTTTTCTTAGTCTGAATATCACCTTAGATCTGCCCAATCATCTTCCAGACTTCAGTCCATCTGAGTCTCGTCCTTTTCTGTGAGGCCTAGGGAAGGATTCCCTAGGCTGGAATTCTAGACCTTCAGATCTGTCCCCTAGGCTGGAGTCTTGCCTTTCTGGCACTTACCCTCTCTCTGGACTTTGGTCCATTTCCTGTCTCTCCAACTCTACCTAAGGGTAGTCTACCTCTATTTGCTTCTACATTGGATGAAGTCCGATGTAGCCCCTATTCCTTCTGGACCTCTGGACCTCCTGTCCTGTGTACCTCCAGGCATCCTGTCCTTTGGATGTCCTGTCCTCCAGACCTTCAGTCCTCCTGTCCTCCATACCTCCGAACCTCTGGACATCCTGTCCTCCTGTCCTCCATACTTCTGGACCTCCAGACATCCTACCCTTCCTTCCCATTTCCTGTAGAAGTACTACCTTGCAGTGGGAACTCTCCTGTGCTCCTCCAGAAGTCCTCTAGCACTCTTCACCAGAGTAACCAGCCTCTGGAAGTCCTCTGGACTTCATTGGACCATCATCGGACTTCCTCTGAAATGAAGGGCACATACTCAGGTAAGGGGCACAGTGTACAAGCTGAGGCCAAGCCCCTCTGAGTCAGTCTCTCTCTCCCTTGAGCATGGTTCTTAACAGGACCCATACTTTACATTATTTTACATACATAGAGCACTCCCTATTTGCTTCTGAGCCCTGGGAGTGTGCCTAGGCACAGCTTACCTGTTGCCTAGAAAATTTTCATCTATACAACAACCACCATCATCTACCATCATGTCAGTTAGTATCTAGAAATCAGAATCTACAGTGGCTCAAAAAACTGTCCACATGTTTTGACATTTTTCACTATCTATGATATTGTGTGAGAAGGAACAAATGCCTCAAGGACATGGTTATACCACATTGTAGTATGGCTTCAGGGCTTTCATTTGAGCCCTACACTGTGGGAATCGGTGGAGATATGGTGGAGATACAAGGCTCACAAAATGGTGACTCATGCAGACAGTTTTTGACTCAAGTATTTTACAATAATAACCAGGTATTCTAGTATTTTGTATGACCCCCCTTGGCTTTAATTACTGCCTCTATCCTTCTAGGCATACTCTCAATTAATTTCTGGCAATCCTCAGCTGTGATCTTCCCCCATTCCACTGCTACTCTCTCCTAAAGCTCCTATACTCCTTTAGGGGGGTTTTCATAGGCTTGAAGCTTTTTCTTGAGTGTTCCCCAGAGATGTTCAATGACATTGACATCAGGAGACTGTGCTGGCCAGTCAAGAACATTGATGTTATGTTCTTCAAACCATTCCTTAGCTCTTCTGGATGTGTGCTTGGGATCATTATCCTGTTGGAAAATGATATCTTCTTCATCAATCCCTGATTCTGCCAAGCTAGGCAGCAAGTGGTCATTTAAAATGTCCACATACTGCTCAGCATTCATCTTCCCCTCAACCTCAGCAAGCATTCCCACACCATTCCATCCCATACAGCCCCATACCATTAAAGAACCTCCTCCAAACTTGACAGTCCCATTAACCTCTCTGTCTGTTAGACCATCTCCCTTCTTTTTCCATGCATATACCTTCCCATCTGACCCAATCCTATTGATTTTGGTCTCATCTGACCATATAACATGCTTCCAGTCCTCTACAGTCCAGTGTTGATGAGCTAAGGCAAAGGCTAGTCTTCTCTGCCTATGTTTGATGGAGAGAAGAGGCTTTTTCTTCTTTGTTACTACCTTGAGATGAGCTGCCTTGAGAATATTCCTCACAGTTTGTGAAGAGACAGGGGTAGTGATGGTGGAATTGATATAATGGGTGGCTTGGACAGCATTATCAGCCTTTCCTGTAGTGATATATTGGATAATAGCCCTTTTGTCAGTAGAGATAAGCTTGGATGGACGTCCTCCACAAGAGTTTTCCTTGTCTGGGTGGCTTTCTTTGATAAA